ACCTTTCTTCTTCATAAGTCATATTTCTCCTGCAAGGAAGCCTCACCTGCTGTTGGCAGCAAGCTAGAATATCATAATTAGGATAAATGCTTTCTTTGGCAACCTAGAGATTTTCAGTAACTTTCAAATAAATTTAGAATCCTTGTTGCTGAGAAAGTAAATGTATGCTTATCAAAGCATAAATCCATACATTTGAGATGCATTTGCCTAGTGGGATCCAGGCCCAAGATCTGAGTTCTTCGAGACAAATGCTACATAAATGGGAAAATTCGCTCTGCTTTCTAGCCCCGCTGACATCACAGGTGCCAACAGACGCGTTTTATCTCATGAAAACTTTACATGGGTGTGCCTTTTAACACACACTACAACCATGATAGCATGAAATTTTGTACAAACCTCCAAGGCAAAGGTGGACAGAGACACTGGAAAACTACACCTAGTACCATATTAGAGTGGGGGTGCAAAGAAATTGAGAGGGGAGAAAAGCATAGAGACATGCCTTCCTGTTTCAAAAGCAAAGGGGAGTGTTACACTACCTCTCCCTACTTAGAAAATTAACTCAGTGACTATAGCTGAGACAGATCTGGTAATCATCAATTTGTGGTGAGAAGGGCAGCACTGAGACCGAGACTTCTAAAGCACAAATCTTATGAGGAGCAGCTGAGGGAACTGGGGTTGCTTAGCCTGGAAAAAAAGGAGGTTGAAGGGAGGTCTTGTTGCTCTCTACAACTGCTTGAAAGGAGATTTTAGTGAGGTGGAGGCTGGTGTCTTCTTCCAACTAACAAGCGACAGGACAAGAAATGCCCTCAAGCTGCAGAAGGGGAGGATTAGTTTGGATATTAGGAAAAATTTCTTCCCCATAAGCATTATCAAGCATTGGAAGAGGCTGCCCAGGCAAGTGTTTGAGTCACCACCCCTGGGGGTATTTAAAAGACATGTAGACTTACAGACATGGTTTAGTGGTGGAATTGGTGTGTTAGGTTTATGGTTGGGCTTGATGATCTTAAAGGTCTTTTCCAACCTAAATGATTCTATGATTTTATGAGATCCAAGGCAAAGCAGGGGCAGGAGAAAAGATATAAAGGCTTGAGGAGAAGAAAGGGGCAGGTGGGGGTGGGGGTGGGGGTGTGAAGAGAGAAACCAGAGCAGTCAGTGAACTGAGAGAAGAAAAATAAAAGCAGGTTTAAGGGTGGCAGGAGGTTAAAAAGAAGAACCACAGCTCCCTGCAGCGAGACGCTGGACAATGGAGAAGGAAAACAGGGCTCTGGGGGGCTGAACCCTTCCGCGTCCCCCATGGCACAGGGGTGGCTGTGGACTTGGCCCACACCCCCCACAGCAAGCAGCCACAGCCTCCACGTACGGGGGACACAACAGCGCAGCAGTGAGGTTAAGGCTTAAATGCACATTAGAACACGGCCTTGTGCGTGTTTGTTTTAACAACAAAAAAAACCCCCAAAACCCAAGCAGGCTCGTTCAGCTGTAGTCAGTCAGGGGAAGCTTCTAAGCGAGCGTAAACAAAACTACTGCTGAAACAAAGCAGCACCTCGGCATCAACTGGCGTTAGAGCCATGAGGCCCCAGCTGCCGAGAGCCGCCTCACCTCCTTCTTCCCGGTCAGAGTCTCCGCCGGGGAGATGGCGGCAGCGGGGAGAGGATGCTCCCGCCGAGGCCGTGGCCTGGACACGGTTATGGAGCTTTGCCAACAGCGGGAAACCAGCCTGAGGGCCACGATGCCCCGTCCTGTCCCGGGGCCCGGTTCTTTACCACAGCGGCCGCCTCAGCTCAGGGCTCCCCTCGCCCCGGGCTGGGCCGGGAGTTGGGCGGGAGGGGCACAGGGCGGGAAAGGGGGCCGAGGCGAGGCAGCAGCGGGACTCACCCTGCGCCAGCCCTCCCCTGCGAGCCCCGGCCCTGGAAAAGCCCCGGCCTGGCCTCCACTGCAGAGCCGGCCCTTCGCACCTCCTGAGCGCGGCTCGGAGGGAGCAGCCTCTCCCGGCGCCGCTCCCCTGCCGCCGTGGCAGAGCAGCGCTCAGCAGCAGCCGGACAAATCGCTCCGATTCCTCCCCCTGGTGTGAGGGCCAGGGCTGTATTATTATCATCACTATTATTTTTAGTACACTAGTGGTCAACCAGACCACCCCAGTACCGTGGCTGTTTTCCCACATGAGCACCCGTAACTGCCCTACAGGCTGAAAACCCAGGCAGCCCTCAGGGGTAAGTTTGTTTTTGTGGGTTTGGGTGGCCAGGCCAAGGGTGCAGGAACAATTCCAGACAGACACTCCACACGTTTTCCTGCAGCAACGTAATGACTCGTGTTCTGTACCTGTAGGTTTGCCTGCCTTTCGCCAAGTGACACCCAGCTCCAAGGGCCCTCTGCCAGCCGGGCTGCGCGGGGAGCAGACCGCCTCCTCTCCGCGGGCTGGGGTAACCTCTGCTGGCTGATCCGCGCTGTTACACCGCCTCAGACACTGCGAGAAGCAAGCTGGTAGGCTGACACAACGAATTGAACGAAGACAGCAGAAGAGGTCTATTACATTTGTTTCTCATACTTTTGTATGCATTTGCTACCACAGAGAGGGTTTTAGTGTGCATTTTTAAGGCACTAACGATTTAGGTAAATCAGGACCCTGCTCATCTGTGTGTGAACGTGTTTATTTCCTCAGATAGCACAACTTTTATTACTAAGCAGTCTGTAAAGTGTAGTTTGAAAATAATCTACACTTTTCAGTTTGAAGATGCAGATACAGCACACCCAGTGTCATCTTACACAGCTGATGGATGCATTTTTACACATATGGTAATGTCACTAGCTCAGGATGCTACTTTATGTGTTAAAATGAACATGTCACACCTGTGACATACTCAACTGTATCCCACTTCTTCAAATGGTGTTACTTCATATCTGCATAAAACAGGTATTATTCACTTCAACATTGAAGGCTCCACGTTGAGGCCGTGGTCAGAAGTCGTAGGAACCACAAATGTGGAGTTGTCTTTTTGTTCTGAGGAGTTTAAAATCTAAACAGATATTGTGCAGGGCAGGAACAGAATGCAGACAATTGACCTATGATTCCCAATCAACTTGATTCCTGTTAGTGTGCCTTACTCTGTAGGTGCATGCAGAGACAGAAAACATGGGAAAAGTGAGAGCTGGATGTTAGTGGAAGCTTCCATTAAATTGGCAAGAAATCAGGTGCTAGTCCTCATTTCAACCATTAATAGCAGAAACAGATTAATTGTAATCTCATCTATGGAAAACCTAACACTCGCCTCCCACTCCATTTGCAATTCTAGCTTGCGGTCTTCTATCCCCTTAATTGAAATACATACTAGAAAAGCTTCTACAAGGCAAGTTTTCCAGCCAGAATTAATTTCTTCATTTTCTCTACTCTGCAACTTTGTGTTATTTTACCATAGGCAAAACAGCAGACCAAAGCAACAAACATGCTTCAGTCTGAAGGTATCCTGAGAATTCTTGCTTAAGACCCGTACTTCTAATCTACTAGGAACCATGATTTCTAAGAAAAATCTGTGGCCACATGACTACCTCAAAAATGGAAAACATCATGTAGACAATATGCATGTGGCTACAAGTCAGACCATATTTGACCAAAAATAGTAGATAGAACTGTCGGTTTAATTAGACATGGATCAAAAAATGAAGAACTAAGTACTTTTCCATCATTCCCTGGAGGTTTTGAAGTTGGCATTTCCCCGCCCCCCCCTCTGCATATAGTTAGTTGTTTGCCTCGGGTTGTAAAGAAATGCAGAGGGCTGTTATTAAAGCACCAATAATTTGCTGAACTCCATCTTTTGTGGAACTTGCTGAGTTAGAAAATTCCTTTTCACCTCCTCCCCCACCTCTCCTTGACTAGAAAAACTAAAGAACAAATATCACATTATGGGGGTAGGTAAAAGGATCTAGTGCGTTTGCAGTTTATGTGACTAGCACAAGACAGAACAAATTCTAAAGCTTAAACCTGTCCAACTAAATGACAAGGGAAGTAGAAAAAAATTTACTTTTTAAAAGCATATCAGAACAATGACATGTTTAGGATTTGCTGTGCTTAGTGCTTTAGATTCAGATATGGACTCCTAATATAGTTTATTAGAAAGTTCTCCAAGCAATTAGAACCTGAGCACATACAGGAGGCAGTGAAGAATTCCCACTACGATGAGTGAGATTCTGAGAATGCACAAACCATGATCAGCTGTTTAGTGTTGTCCTCAAGCCCAAAGTCCGCTTTTGCCTTTTCAGAACTCCAGCCCATCACAATAAGAATTTTTATCCAGTTCTCCATGTACTATCCCAATGGAGCAGTACAGCAGGTTCTTTCAAGGCCAATGGCTCACGTTTAAATTCAGCAAAGATGGCTGTTACTGCTTTGCCCTTCTACCATAGATTAACACTTCCAGCTTGGTACAGCTAAATACTGTATCTGCTCCTCACTAGATGTCAGCTGCTACCATTTTTCACTAGCATTAATATTCTTGTAAACTACAGAAATCAAGGAGTACACAACCCATTCAATTATCCCCAGCACTGACCTCAGTGCAGATAAGCAGAGCAGGTCGCTCCATCAAGTGCTCTCATTAAATCTGCTGCCAAACACAAGTCAACAACCTGAATCTCACAGCTGACAAATAAAAAGGAGACGCAAGACAGGCACTGACAACCACAGAATCGCCAGCCTTTTTTGAAAGAGGGATGGACATCACTTAAACCACACAGCAGTAGCACCAGGAAGAACAGATCTGATCTACCTTCACAACATGGAACAATCATTTGCATTCCTTTTCCTGCTTTTGCAAAGGGCCAGATCTTTCTGTACACCACTGAGAGACATGCTCTTTTCTTGAAATGAAATAGATTTCCTGTTTGCCTCTACTTGCTTACCTTTATTACATGCATGCAAGCTAGTGTCTCTCTGCTCCACTGCATTTTTCAAACTTGTATTTTGTTAGAGTTGCCTTGTAGTTCAAGGAAAGACACGAGAACAGGTAGCATTTTGGAACACAGATAAATTTTTAATGATTTAACATACAGTATAGACACTAGTTGAACATCTTAACAACCAGGGAGGGAGGATGCAGTTTCCATCCCACTGAATGGAACAAGGTCACACACACTTCTGATAACATCCTGTTTTTCTAGGAGAGAAAGGGGCCAGGAATTCCCACTAATGTTGTCCAAATTAGGCTGGTTCTTATAATTTCTTAATCACTGCTTCAAGCGGTGCTATCGCCTACTAAGGAATTAATATCAAGTTGGAAAAGAAAGCAAGAGCAAGCCATCAGTATCTTGATCTCATCAGTCATGGTGCAAAAACATAAAGTGCTGGAATATATCTCAGTAGGAATGATCACAGACCAACCTGATGGCTTTCCCTGAGGAAAACAGTTATGAAGTGCTGGAACAGGGGTGACGAATCTGTTTAACACTGAAAAGAGAAGTAACCTCTGCTACCCTCTGAAGACGGCATTTCACACTGCATCTTTACACTGTGTCATGTCTGCTGCAGCAAGTTGCCATAGGATGGCAGCAGAGGGGAGACAAGATTTTCAAGTGGATAAACTACTAATGCTAAAGCTTTTAAGCTTTTGGAAAAACAAGATTTTCAAGAGAATCTGCTGACGGAATCATTATCTCACTTGATGACTTCTGGGAAAGAAGAATGAAAACACTGCAAGTAGATTTTATCAGCTGGCTGGTAACACTACTTCTTGTTTAATCGTTTGCACTAGGATACTCCACCACTGTCCTTGGGTTTTTTGTTGTTTGGTGGGGTTTTTTTAAAGCCCCTGTAGATTGTTTTATTTCAGTCAGGGAATAGGAAGTATCAGTTTAAACAAACGTATACAAAGTCAGATTCATGGAGCAAGCGGATGAGGTAAAATCAAGAGAAATGAGGCTCTGCATATAGAAAAGAACTAGTGTTTGGACTTCGTCCAGCGACTTGCAGGGGAAGTACAAATTTAGCCAGCATTTTACAGGTTCTCTACCCATCTTTTCTGTGTTGTGAAGCCTTAAGAGGGACACAGTTTAAATTACAAATTTGAGTGCTAGGAGAAATGGTGGGATAACCAACCCTGTTCTAGTACCATTCTGATCAGACCAAAATTCCAGAGTAACGAGTATGTCAAACAGCAAATCAAAATCATCATGACTGTTTAACTGAACTCATGCAACACAGTTGTCCTCAGAGGAGGGCTTGAGCGACGTTCCGACATTTTAGTTACTTCATGTACAAGGACATCATTAAACTGAAATCCTAAAACAACTCCCACCTTTTGCACAACCAGGAGTGAAGTACATTTGAATTACCATGGCCTGAATAAGTTCAAGCAAATAAGTCTTCAGTGTTCCCTGTCAGAAAGTGGACTAGCAGAGAGCTGTTTACAAGACTCCTCTTCGAGGAAACTGTCGCAGAGTAACAAGGAAAGCATCTACAGACAATAAACATCCCATCCTAGGCAGATCCCTGCTCTTCTTACATGTTATGGGACTTTTGACAGAATAACAACTCCATTGGAGTTCTGAATGCTTTAAACTCACTAAGCACTATAGTGATGAATCCAAATACAATTCCTTTAGACTAAGGAGGAAAAAAACCAACCAACTTTAGTCAGGATCTAAAACATCCTTTCTACCTGACATAATAAAACAGGGACTGAAAGGCATCAACAACTAGCTATGCAAAGCATCAATACTTTCAGCTAGTAATCCATATAAAATGAATAAATAATTCATAATTACATATGTAGTGTACACCATGCATGTCAAGAAGTGCTTCAGAGAGAGAAGCACAACAGGCATGCTTTACTCTTTAAAAGCAAAAATCCTCCAATTATTACTATCACTCTGGAAAGCCTCTGGACTACAGAGACACAATCGAACCTCCATGTATAGCTGCAAAGCTACATTAGATATTTTTCCTACAACATTTTATAGCCTAGATTGACTCTGTGCATCCTAAAATTTAGAGAAAGTACTCAAAGAATGTACTAGTACTCTAAAGCAGGTGCGTAACAAACTGAAGAAAGCAAGATTCAATCCCAGAGAATTTACGTCCCTCCCTTACACTGTACACCTCTGGGCTTGTCCCCAGAAACAGTATCAGCCATTTACACCGAGGCTCTTATAAAGCAACAGCTGTTGTCTTGCTCTTTTAGATTCTAGTCTGCAGTTCCTTCCCTTTGTTGCTTAGATCATGCAGCTTTCAAACAGGCAGAAGCTCTGGGGGATATTCGCCATAGCAGTATTTTGCAATTGGATCTCTATAGGTGTTTTCATGTTGCACACTCTGTCAGGAAGAGGAGGAGAAGCTTTAGGAATACACACATATTGAAATAATACATCCCTTCGCTGAGGGCCAAAACCCAGAGCATTTATGGATATGGAAAACATTTCCCAAATTCTTCTACACATAAGCATATTATCTGGAGTCAAACAACACTGCACTTGCAACATATAAAAGACGGTTGCTGTATTACAGCACTTTAATGTTGAACCATACCCAGAACCTTCTTTTCAGAAGACAACCCAAGTAGGTGCGAACAGATTCAATATACAACAAAAAAGTTGTACATGCTTAGGCAGTATCATCAAATGTCCCAAGCAAGCAAGGCACATAAAGTTGACACTTGAGATGTGTGCATTTTTCTTGATAAAGCTAGAGTTCAGATACCATGGGTAAAAAAAACCACCAACTTTGGAGACATTTGGAACTATGTCCTTTGTCTGCAATCCATCCCTATTGCTATATTAAATACTCAAGCTGCATGACATCTCCAACAGCACTTTCTAAGAGGGCCAATGCTTGCTTAGACAAAAACTTCTAATAAAACCACATGGGTAACAGAAGTTCACCTCTGTTCTTAAAAAGCAAACATACTTTTTGAGTTACTGTGCAGATGATTGTCAGCATATGGAAAGTCTGAAAACATACCATAAAATAAGTAGCATTCTGAAGCTACTGCAACAACTCTCACTGTTTTCATCCTTATGAGATCTTCACTAGTCACTGAACTCAGCTAGTCTCTTTTTAGTGAAGTACCTCTTTTCTAAAGAGAGTATACAACTCATCTTGCCCTAAATATGCACTTTGCCCTTCATTTACTGCTGATGTTACTATTTCACCTTACAGATCAGAGGATGACCTTCAGATTAACTCTCAGACATATCTTAGCATTTATGAAGATGCCGCTGTGTGTGCAAGCACAACAGACGAGTCATACATGGGACCTAAGTCCCATTTTCCAAGAGCGCTTTCTTACCTGTGATGAAGTCCTACATTTTGCCAGACACAACTCAAAGTGATCTTCCACTGCCATGAAGAGGTTCTGGAAAGCAATAGCTGCCCGATTCAAGAAGCGTTCCAGAAGATGTTGCTAAAATGGTTAGCAAAAATGAAGACAAAACAAAAAACCAACATCATACATCAACAAGGAGTGATCAAAGTCCACCTTAACCCACACAGCTCAAGTATCAAAGGAATAGCAAGCAACTCCACTTAACCTTTCAGTGCTTGCTAGAAATTCTAACACATCACAGAACCCCAGCAGTAGCAAGAGCATCTAGAGAAGCCAACAGAATACAAAACTGCTGCTGGCTGGATTAGCTCTTCTGCAGTCATCTCCCTTCAGCAAATGCAACTTCCCTGTAGCTGAAACATTCTGCAAGGCTCCCAGCATTTCCTCTCAAAGGTGAGATTTTTTTAAAACCTTATTTTGAGCTTGCCATATGGTCCTTGCAGGCTTTCCTCATCCTTCCAGGAAACACAACTGTCCCTCCAAGAAAAAAGCTCCTCACAAACAAGTACTTTTAGACACAGAGGAGCCTGAGCAGCTCAGAACACCTGAAAAGCAGGAGAAAGTCTATGCACCTTGCTGGGCTGCAGGCAACAGGAAACACAGTACTCATACACACTGCAGCAGCCATTGGGAAGGCAGCTGTCGCAGCTGTACAGCTTTGTACTGGCCACGTTGACGTTACAACAGCCATTCACCAGGAGGTCCTTCCTCTCACAGATGTAGCCTGAAAAACAGAAAGAGTAGTAACAACTTGCAAGACGTACTTGGTTGTAGGTTCTATAGAAATCCATGGTAAGAATCACATTACTTAAGAACAGATTTATTATTTAGTACATGATGATCCCTCTAATTTAAGCCCTAACTAGCAATTCTTTGAAATAACACTTGGACATAGAGATGAGTTTCATAAGAGCCTGGTGTTATCTGCACAACTATTATGTACCTACTCTAATATGCTGTATATACAGTATGAGCATTTAAAATGCAGAATATTTAAGTTCTGATTTCTTTTTGGCATAATTCATTGTTGTGATTGGAAGTGGAAAGGCATTTGGTGATGGAAAAAAGTATGACATTTTCTTTGGTTATGGATAACTCTCTTTACAGTACAGTATAAAGAGTCTTAGATGTATCCCCGTAGGATAGCTGTAATATTCATTGTTAGGCAGAATCCTTAGTAGTACAGAACCACAACATATGTCCTTATGTAAACTGTACCACCACAGTGTCAGACTGGGAAAAATCTCTGTGATTTGAGATACCTCAGTGAATCAGCAGTAAGCATAATTCAGGCAGGGCTAAATTTAACACTGATGCTAATCACAGAAGACATGGTGGGTTTTCTACAGCCTTGGTCTCTGGTCAAGAAGGGTCTGGTACCTGTGCAACACACACACTGGGGAAGCATATGTGCAGGGCAGGAGAGGCTCCATATGCTTAAAACAAGTGGTTTATCTGAGAATCTACAAGAAACGTCCTTAGGTCTACAAGGATCAGCTGAGGTTGTTAACTGTGACAGCGCAGCAGTTGGGCCCGTCCTGAGCTGCCTCCACACAAGGCCCGTCAGGTGTCCCCGATTACTCTCCCTAACGTGCCTGACAGCAGGAACACACTGCAGGGAGACAGCTCTGCAGGGACCTCGCTAAACTGAGCAGGACCGAATGTCTGAGCTCGGTGCAAAGGTAACTGGAAGCCTTGGTAGCCCTAGAAATAGTACAGCTGTGCTCCTGAGGTCCTGTGCCTGAGCCAAGCCTAGCTGGACCCAAGCCTGCTGTGCACAGATCACATCAGCTGTGTCTGCAGCCACGGCAAAATGAACCCAGCCTGGGATGAAGCACCAGCTGCTGAGGTTGTGCAGTAAGAACACTTTAATAAGGAGCAGTTGTTACGTGGAAGTGCCATCAACAACCAGACAGGCAAAGCAGCATTCAACACTGCAATACGCGGAGTAAATTCTTAGTATCAAGTATACCCAGTTCATCTGTAATGAGGAGCTTCCCCTGCACAGAATTCCTGCACTGGTTACTCAGCTGACTGCTGTTTCCCGAGCTGAACTTCACCTTCCACATGATCGGCTGCTCGTGCTCTTGCACTTGGAGGAGATTTCGATCTCTCACTGTCCTCTCTTCCTGCAAGGAAAGACAGTTATGCAACTAAACATACAAGTTCCTTCTGCCATTCCAGTCCATGCGCTTTCCCCACAATTAACAACGCCTGGTAGTTGTGAACTACACAGCACAGGAAACTCCAGTGGCAACGGCGTAAGCAACACACTGCATGCGGTAATTTACTTTTTGCTACGCACAGCAGGAAAGCAACGTAACCCAGTAAAACGGGGGTATGCACTGAGGGATCAACTAACACACCCAAACTCAGTCACTGCAACCACAGAAGTAGCGTATATTATATTAAACAACTATAGGCACAATATTTCTCTTTTGTAAATTCTTTGCTAGCAGAATTATAGTCCACAAGAGCTGTTACAACAGTCCCTTCGAGCCTTTTTTTCCAGTCTTGGTTCAAAACACCACTGCTGTCAGCCAGAGTATCTGACGTGACTTTTTTTTAACTCCCGTCTTCATTTAATAATTACGAGGTAATTCTTACGGCAACGTACCCCAGGAGCTCAGCAACAGCACCTGGAGGACAGCAGTTACCCGGGGATAAGCATGATCTAACCCAGCCCGCACCTCCCGCCGGCGGGACGGGGCTCCGGGGCGGGCACTGACCTGCTTGAAGGTGCTGGTGAGGAAGTACACGAGGGAGAGCCCGAAGACGACGCCGAGCACCCAGCGCTTCCTCAGCAGCCGCCGCCACAGCACCGCTCCCCAGGGCACCATGGCGGCGC